GATTTGTTCTAATGGCGTTTGTAAATAGGATCACAAGTCCGCATCTTGTACAGCAATTAACCACTAAGAAGAATATATGCAGTGTATTATTTGTTGAAAAATAAAAAAAAAGGAAAAAAAAAAAAAAGAACAAAGGAAGAGAAGGATTTTTACTCCTTTTTTGCTACTCCTTTTCTTTAAACAACTGAAATAAAGCAATTATACTTAAAAGTCCTAGACAGCTAACAAAAAAGATAAAGATCATAAATTATATTTATCATAGTACCCTCAACACCCTGCAATATAATATGTATTCATATACAGAACAAACTACAGTTCAAGTTGATAGATCTGTCGTTACCAAGCTGGAAGCTTTCATTGGTGTTTAAAGTATAACTTCTATTTTAAGTAAGAATGCAAGCAATTAAGGGGGAAATGTGTTTAAACGCTTCAGAGAAAACTAAAGAAAAGGTGCTGCAGCTCACTTGCCCAGGCTGAAAGCATGGCTCCTCCCCAAGAGCTATGAGGCTCAAGGCAGGTGTGATTTCACTTCTCTGAGCCTTACATTTCCACTGTAACTAGCAGCACCAATAATAATAAACGCCTAAAAGAGTCTTAGAAGTATTAAATGAAGTAATCCATTCAAAGTGCTTCATACATTTCAGTAAACTATTACTGTATAATGAATTTAATTGTGAAAAGCAACAAATTCTAACTGACACCCAATTATAAGGTGTGAGATGCTTTGAAACATTACAATGGTAGGCTGGATAGCTCAGAGGTCTAAGCCCCTGCCTGGCTGCACAAGGACCTGGGTTCAATCCCCGGTATCGCATGCTGTGCCAGCCACCAAAACTGGGCGTGGTGGTGCACACCTGTAATCCCAGCACTGGGGAGGCTGAGACAGGAAGATAAATCTGAGCTGTGTAGTAAGACCCTATACTAAATAAATAAATAAATTTGAAAAAAATTACACTGGCTTCTATTAGCATCAGAATAAACAAATTACCTGTTTTACCAACCATAGGGTTTTTTTTTTTAATTAAATGAAACTAAATAAATGAGTTAGATGTTCAGTTACTCTCTCAGTTAAGTATACCACCGAATTTCATTATTCTGAAAGGTCAACCTAGAATTATCATTTGTCTTGGAGTAAAACATCTTATAGTCAGAGGCAGCATTCACACTATTTAAGCCTCATTCAGAACAGAGATATTCCAAGATGCATGAGCACCATGCACACTGGCAGAACAGCATCCCTGAGATCGGGAAGCACTGCCTGTAATAAAAATCGGAACCCTCTCTTCTATGTTGTTATTTTAAATGCAAAATCACAGCAAGCTAGCACATAGGAACTTAGTAAAACAATATACCATGCCACCAATGATAGGCTGTACCCAGCTGTCACACATCGAGCCAGCTCTCTGCTGGCCCTGTCTTACCTCCAGGTCACAGCTGTACTCGGTGCCATCCAGGAGGACCACTTTACACTGGACAGTTTTGGTCTTCTTGCTGGCTTTCTGAGAGGCATTCTCTGCTTTCAGCTCATTGGTCTGCACTTCCTTGGTCTCCCTGTTTGCTGCTTCTCCTTCTAATTTGTTTTCCTGTGTGCCCTTAACCTTCTCTTCTCTCTCCTTTACTTTTTCAGCAGGCTGTCAAAAAAAAAGTAGTGCTAAATTTAACCAATCTGTGAAAGACAACTGAAAGGAAAACCTGTAATAAGTGTTATGATTGAAAAGCTTAAGAATTTAAAAGAGTTGACAATCAGGCCAGTAAGGATATCTCCCCTCATCTTCCTTCTATTGCCTATTTTCTCATTTTGCAAAGCTGGTTATTTTAGCACTAGATGAATAAAAGGTACTACATCTCCTAACTGTAACTTTGGTATCATTCAAATAGTAGAATTTCCAACTCAAATTTCACACAATGGCAAAATCTGTGCCTCACAAGGCACACAATATACTATTTACTGCTCACTGAATACTTAAATAAACCAAAGAAACATAAAAAGGCCTCTTTTTAAAAATGAAATACACCAGAAATCTCAGAGTATATACTGAACCTTAATAGGAACCCCTAGAAACTTAATAGTTTGTACATATAGTTAATTATTTTAGAAATACATTTTTAGAGGAATAACAGGAGAAGCCTGAGATATACCAACCCAAGAACTGTATTCCAGGCACTTTAGACCAGATACATTTCAGTTATCTCAATACAGGAAATCTGGAAAAGATCCAAACAGACCCTTTTCCTTATGTGGTTGTTCTCATTCCCAAACAGATACCCTGAAACACACCTGCATCTCGGCACTGCCTACTACAGGCTTGTCTTCTTGGACATCCACCTTCACCTCCACATGTGTCCTCTGGGCTGCATCATCAGCATTGCTGTTGGCCTGTCTCTCTTCTTCAGGAAGGGAGTCCTCTTTATCTAAGACTTGGTCTTCCACGACACCTTGGGGAGGCTCTTTCTTAGATCCTCCATCTTTGGCCACCACTAAGTTATAGGACTTCTGTTTCTTAAGCCATGGGGGTATGAACCGAGAAATCCCTCTGCTCTCAGATGGATCCTTCTCTCGCTTCTGGCGGCGAAGACTGCTTTGGTTTTCAGCTGCAGGAAGAGGCTGGGAGCCTTTACCTTCCTCTTGACTGGATGACTGATTCTGCTGATTTTCTGCCACCTCTTTAGCTTTCTCCTTGGTTGTACCAGCTCCCAACTGGTCAGAGTCCTTCACTTCAGAAGCAGAGCCAACTTCAGTAGTCATGGTTACAAATTACACTGTAAGAAAATCAACAGATGCTACTTTACTAATTCTCCTAAGTCTGGTGGCAAGAAAAAAGAAAAAAGTAAGGCAGGGTGGGAAGAGGAATGGCAGAGATCAAAGAGAGAAAGCAGACTGAGAAAGAAGCTTCATAAGTTAAAGAGACGGAGACCACTCTAACTTTGAGAATTTTCAATCAGATCATAGAATCAAAGCTAACACCACAATAGCATTATCTGATACTACACAGCTACAACTTAAAGTGACCAAAAATGAAAAAAAGAGTGATTACTTTATTTGGTTTCAACTAGTTACAGATAATAAATAAACCCCCAAAATCTAATTTTTTTAAAGATTACTTTTCTCTGTACTGGGTTGCCTTCATTCTGTAATAAGAAAATGCTGCCAATATTATTAGAAAGTACTAAGAAACATTTCACTACAATTTTACAGATTAAAATAAAAAATCTACAAAAATGCTAAATATTACAAAAATAAAATTTAAATGCTAGGTGCTTAACAGAAAATTTAACAAAAATTATTGTCTTCATTACAATATTGAATCCTGTAATTCACTGTCATTATTTTAAGGCAAAAATGAACTTTTTGGGCACAGGGATCAGGGGTTCGATTCCCAGGCCTGCTGTGTCAGCCCCACCCCCAGGGCACACTGAGATGGCAATTGAGACTGGGCATGGTGGCATGCGCCTGTAATCCTAACACTTGGGAAGCTGTAAATAGGTGGATCACTGTGAGTCTGATCTAGTAGTGAGACCCTGAACACTCTGTAGACCCTTCCCTAAGATACAAAAAGAAAGGAAAAAGAAAAGAAAACTTACTATCAATCCTAACAACCAGCACTCTACTTTTGGTGTGCATGGATTTAAGCTGGGGTGCTGTGACTATGACAAAAAGGTTAGTTTTCAAAAAGTGAAACACCAGTTTATGGCAGGACTCAGCAATTCCACAAATGAAAACATCTGTCTTTCCCTCAATATTCATAACAGCATGATTCATAATAACCAAAAAATACCTACCAACTGATGAATGGATATAATGTGGTATGTAAAACGGTAGAACACTATTCAGTCAAAGAAATGAAGCAATGACACATGTTCCATACAGACAAATCTCGAAGTCTGGGAGTTTTAGAAGTTATTTTAGGGGCCGGGGAGATGGCTCAGTGGAATAAAGCGCTTCCCTGGCAAGTGCAAGGGCCTCAGTTCAATCCCAGGTTCCGCAAAAAAAAAAAAAAAAATTTCAGAAGTTATTTTAAAGGCAATGAGATATCACCCAAGCACTTTAAGAAAAGGGGTAAGTAATCCAAATTCTCATTTTAAACGGTCAGAACTGGGAAGTTTAGGATGAGAGAAAAGACTGAAATAGAAAGACCTCTGGGAGATTACTGCAGTCAATAATGCAGACATGATTCTATACTATGGATGAAGCAGTAAGTAAATGATAAGAAATGAACCTCATGGTGAAAATATAGACTGAATACGACATGAAGTCTAGGCTGAACAAAGAAAAAGAGAGCAAAAGGGGATGGGGACCCAAGTCATGGGAGACTAGTAGAACCAGCCACTGAAAAAGGGCACACCTGAAAAAGCAGGCCTGGCTGAGACATTTATCTTCATTTTGAATTCACTGGAATTATGAAGTCTGTGGGGAGATTTAGTTAAGTGATCAGGCACACAACTTTTGAGGAGGTTGGAGGTACATTCAAGAAATCACAGAAGAATTACAGTAAAACAGGTGAGGTGCACAGCTGTAAGGAGAAATGGTGTTGGCTCATCCTGGAGGATCCTGAAAAGAACCCTCATCACTGCCAACATGCGTGGAACAGGCATAGAAAAAGGGTTAGGGCCAGAAGCAAAAGAGACAGGAAGACCAGAAACCAGTATGAGCTTGAGGGTAATACTACAAAAGAGGGAACAGCACCGATCATACCCATATGCCCAACATTATTTTCTATTCCTAAGCATTTAAAATTCAAAACTGTACTTCCAACACAATGCTGAAATTAGCTCCATATTAGAGAGAAAAGGGGGCCAGGGAAATGGTTCAGTGAAATAAGCACTTCCCTGGCAAGTGCAAGGGCCTGAGTTCAATCTCTGGTTCGGGGGGGGGGGGGGGGGAGGTCCATTTAGAGAGAAAAATCTTTTACTTCTTTAACATGTTATTTTGCTATTTAAGTGGAGAATATTTACACTAGTCCTGAAATGTTTAAGTTGATTTCTAGCATATAGTCTCTAATTACATCTTGAGAGCTAAATACCCTGGTAAAATTAAAACAAATATGATCCAACATTATCTAAGCTACTGAACATAGAGTGGCAGCTTGCTAATTGCTCTAGTTATGAGAAATAGTCTGGGGACCAATAAACAAAAGTTGATTTGGAGTTCAAAATATTTTATAAGCAGGGAAATATAAAACTATAGTTTCCACTATTATATTGTATTTTAATCACAGGAGTCACCACTCACAGTGTACTGCATTAGGCATCATGCACGTAATTTCTACTCATCAAAACATCTACAAAGTTTTGTCTTCATTTTATAAATAACAAATGGAATGAAAATGACTTGTCCAAGGCCACTAAATGGATGACCACAAAGATATGTACACATCTCACACAAACTTCATAATGTAATCCCAATTCCATATGCATGAGTAATTCAAGTAATCACAGAATCCCAGGTCTGGTCTTCACATAACATTCATGCCAACTGTGCTTAACTAAGTGACTCACAGGGAACCAGGGTTCTCATTCTGTAAACATGCTGAGCTTGTGGAGGAGTAAGACAAGGAGATGGTGTGGGCAGATAACCTGCATACAAACAGAAGGGAGGAAAAAAGGCTTGCTTTTTCCCTTCTGTTTTTGTTGCTTTTGCTGTCTTCCACTCCCTTGAACTACTGCCCCGTGCCATGCATCCCTGCTTCTTTGAAGCCAACTGATTATGGACTGAAATCTCTACCAACTGGGAGCTAAATAAACCTTTCTTTCCTTAACTTTGGGTGTCAGGTATTTTCTCTTAGCAATAAGAGAAAAGTCCCTAAGACAGTGGCCAATAATTACTTACTGAATAAGTATTATTACATTATCTAGTGTAATATTCTATCAGCAAGGACACCTACTAGAAAGACTACAAAATCTGCCCAAGATAACAGTGTCATAGGCAAAGCCTAAACCAGAACATTTCCCACACTATAGCAAGCTCAAGGTTCTAATCTTCAATTACAATTACGCAAGATCCATCATTAGTATAGTTATATAACCTACTAAGACTTTTCTACTTAACATCAACCAAGAGAAATACTGCTGCAAACAGCCAGCCCATTAGACAAGTATGTGGCTGTGACACAATTACTGTGCTGGCATGCTCCATCTGGATTTATAAAAGTGCCCGTATTGTCACAGTTCCATGAGAAAAAGTATGCATCATTTAACATGCATCCAAGCAGAAAACCACCATCAAGAGAGGATCAGTACCACTTAGGTAAGAACCTGCATTATTGAAAATCATTCTTTACTTTCTAATATTTAAAAAAGAAGGTACATTCCAAAATACTGTCTCTATGGCTAGCCTAAACCACCCACCATATAACATTATGCTGCCATTTAAAACAACGGTCTTTAATTAGAACACTACAGCAAGCAAAGCAAAACAGAGATACAGGAGTCTACATGCTCACAAAGAACTTCAAGTAAGGAAGGAGTTAGTGCTATTAGGACCAGGTGTTTCTAGAAAACCTTGTGAGAACCTGGGCTACTTTTGAGGCCTTTTGGTTAACACAATCCTGAACACAGAACAGGGCGGGCTGAGTGGCTAGTGTCCTCTTCTGAGATATGAGCAATGTGAAGTTTTTGATCTCCCCCAGTAGAATCAAATGTATAATTTTAAGACATGAGATTTACAGAATGAAAAAGTATGTATTTCTCTACTTCAAAACTATGGTGAAGGGGTGAAGGCAGGTTTCTGTTCAAACTCAAACAAAATTGTGCAATAAATAACTGTCAAATTGAAGAACACTGGTGGTGTGTGGACAGTTCTAATTTAGCCATTCTCTTGATTTGACAAAACTAGTTTTGTTCTGCTACTGTTGTGCCTGGAAGAGGACTGCTGATAGCTCCAATCACTTCTTGTATTCACTTCCCCAAAGCCGATAGCTCAAGGAAAGTTTTTTAATACCACCCCCCTATTTTCCATTAAAGTATCAAACATGAGAAAAATAAATGTACCAACCCAAGTAGGAATGACTGAGCAACTACCTATGTCCAACTGGGAAACATTGGAATAATTCCTCCCAAATTCATCCAACATTTACAAGGAGAAGAGATGGGAGTAGGAAGAAAAACTATCTGTAGAGGGAAAAGGAATAACACAAGTGTGTGCTCACCACGCATGAGCACCAAAAAGTTACTGCCAGTAACTAGTCCTCTCCTTTGCAGTTTATTTTTCTTAGGTATCAAAAGGTCTAGAAAATACTACACTTTCTATTCAAGTAAGTACAAATACATTCCAAAGAAACTGTCAGTTTATATGATGAGAATAAACAAGTTATTTGTGAAATAAGTTAGTGTTGCCCACCCTAATTATAACACACCACACAATACTTACTGATTTTTAAAGGGAGATAAAAGACCTAGAAAAAAGACCATTTCTATGAAGATATAACCTAATACCTGGTTTAAATTAATCCCATACATTCAAAAAACACAAATGGGAACAGCTTAGCTAGTTGAAGTCTAGGAAGGATCAAGATTCATTCAAATCATGTACTTCCTCTGCCCTTTCTCCTTTTCAACAGAACCCACTTTTGCTCAGCAATTCTCCTCCTCCTGCACATGTGCAGCAGAAGCTGGCTCCAGGATGGCTACAGCACAGGTCCTACCAGTCTACAGCAATCACAGATTCTCCCTCTCTCCTTGCTAAGAAGACATGCACAGTCTGTTCGTGAGCTTCCAAGAAAAGTTTTCTCCCTCTAAACAGAGCAACAAGAAGGTCCCTCTGA